TACTGCCTCGGAAACCCAAGGAGGGGTCACTATGAGTCGGGTTTGACTCGACGGCACATAACAACAACAGTGGTGGTAAAGAGGTTCATCCCTGGAGAACAGGCAGCCTGGGCTGAAATTTGAGTAAGTCATTTAACCTCCCTGTGTTTCAATATTTTTGTCTGTAAAATACAGCTATTACTGGTACTTACCACATAGGACTGTGGTGAGGATGAAATAAAACAATCCACATAAAGCTTATAGCACTGTGCTTCGCGTTTAGTAAGAACTCAGTGAGTGGTAGCTGCTACTGTCATTTATGTTTCTGTGCTTGTGATTATTACTACAGTACTGAATGGTACATTGTTGCAGCCACTGTGTCAGTCCATCTACTTGAGGGGGTTTCTCTTTTTCACTGACCTTCCACTTTACCAAGCATGATGTCCTTCTCCAGAGACTGGTCCCTCCTGACAACATGACCAACGTTGGTGAGATGAAGTCTGGCTAGTCTCACGTCTAGGAAGCATTCCGGCTATACTTCCTCCGGGACAGATTTGTTCATTCTTCCGGCAGTCTATGGTGTATTCAGTGTTCTTCATCAACACCGCAATTCAAATATATCACTTCCTCTGCAGTTTTCCTTATTCATTGTCTGGCTCCCACATGCATATGTTGTTGTTGTTAGATGCCTTTGAGTCAGCTCCATCTCATGGCGACCCTATGTGTAACAGAACAAAACACTGCCCAGTCCTGCACCAGACTCACAATCCTTGCTATACCTGAGCCCATCGTTGCAGCCCCTGTGTCAGTCCATCTTGTTGAGGGCCTTTCCCTTTTTTGTTGACCATCCACATTACCAAGCGTGATACTGTTCTTCAAGGAATGGTCCCTTCTAACAACATGACCAAAGTAGATGAGACAAAGTCTGGCCATTCTCACTTCCAAGGAGCATTCCAGCTGCACTTCTTCCAGGGCAGATTTGTTAGTTCTTTTAGCAGTCCATGGTGCTTTCAGCAGTCTTCACCAACACCACAACTCAAAATCATCAACTCTTCTTTGGTCTTCCTTATTCATTATCCAGCTCATACATGCATATGTGAGGTGACTGAAAATACTCGCTTCCAAGGAGCATTCTGGCTGCATTTCTTCCAGGACAGATTTGTTAGTTCTTTTAGCAGTCCGTGGTACTTTAAGTATTCTTGGCCAACACCACAACTCAAAAGCATCAATTCTTTTTCGGTCTTCTTTATTCATTATCCAGCTCTCACGTGCATATATGAGGTGACTGAAAATACCATGGCTTGAGTCTGGTGCACCTTTATCTTCAAAGTGACTGTTCTTGCTTTTGAACATTTTAAAGAGGTCTTTTGCAGCAGATTTACCCAATGTGATACATTGTTTGATCTTTTTGACTACTCCTTCCATGGACATTAATTGTGGATTCAAGTAAAATGAAATCCTTGACAACGTCAATCTTTTTTCCATTTATCCTGATGTTGCTTATTGGTCCATTTGTGAGGATTTATATTTTCTTTACACTGAGTTATAATCCATACTGAAGGCTGTTGTCTTTGATCTTCATTGGTAAGTGCTTCCAGTCCTTTTTGCTTACAGCAAGCAAGGTTGTGTCATCTGCATGTTGCAGGTTGTTAATGAGTCTTCCTGCAATCCTGATGTCATGTTTGAATCTGGCTTGAATTCTGGCAGTTTCCTGTTGATGGTACAGCAATAGTTCCCTATAAAGGGACTAACCAGAGTTCCTTAAGGAAGCAGTTCCTTTACCATGTAAAAATGGTGGTAAGTTGACAGTGAAGTCTAGAAACAACAACAGAAAGTGTTCCTTTTTGATGTGTTAGCACCACCACAGAGGACTCTAACAGTCCCCAGTGTTTATTTGTATAATTCAAAGCCCTTTAGCTGAGACCAGAGGCTCAGCTGTTATGCTGTTGGAGTGCAGCTGTGATCTAAACGTCTTGTTCTAGAAAATTGGTCTGAAGTAACTATTACAGTTAGGTATGGCCTAGACTTTGTCAGCTTCAAAGTGACCAGATGAGTGCTTTTGACCCTTTTTATTTTTTATCACAAGCTGCCATTGAGGATCTGATGAGCAGTATGGACGCTGTTCTCCTGAGTGATGTACCAAAAAACCAAACCAAGCCCACTGCCATCAAGTT